ACCTCACTGCTCAAGTTCTGAGTCTAAATTCTTCTTCATCTCAGTATTTGTCAATTTGACCATAGCGAGTTCACTTTGGATCTGTTCTATCTCTCCTTCAGTTTCTAACACATTTCACAAAACTTTCATCACATGTTACGGACCCACAGTTCTCCACTCTGTGTTTGTCCGTGCAGTTATTTCAGTGTCTGTGACAAGCTGTAATGAGTTAACATAATGACATCAATCAATATATTGTGTTCAGGACTTTTACTGTAGATCCTGAGTGTTTCAATGAATAGGAACACACTGAGATGATAATGAGGGAATTTATTTTGAATCAACTAAAATAACAAAACATTTCAAAATGATTCAATTTCTTTCCCAGAACATCAAGCAAATCTTGGAAGAGTGTAAGGTGAACATATCACATTGTTATTACACTGATGTGTGATGGGCTGAGGGAACTGAGATCTGTAGAGACTAAACCCCACTCCCTCACCATACTCAGGATCGCAGTCCTCCCAAACAGGATAGTACAAACATTCCCCATGGTATTAGTCAAACACCCGTCACCTGAAGAGGATCTGTCTATAATTCGTGTCTCCAACTAAAGCAGGGTCTGATTCTACCCCATACCCACTCCTGAGAGCTGGCTCACTTTACTAACACACACACACTCACATTAGAGGGTACTCTCTCAGAATACTGCAGACAAAGGTTAATTTAAAATTCCTGTGCTTTAGTCTGGTTCCCAATTCCAATGGTCAGAAATGACACTGAACTTTCATGACACAAGATGGAGCTTGTTTCCATTATACAAACCCACCGATGGTTACAGAGATGCAGTGATCACAAGGACGAATCAGTTTCCATTCTCGGAAGATCCTTAACCCCTAGGTGAGTTGGACAGTGCTTTCTAATTCCCAATTCCCTGCCCTTTGGCCCACCACAATGTTTCTGCAGCTGTCAATCTGTCACACCTTTATCCTGAAAGGTACCTTTATTCAATTCCTTCCTGGTCAATCTACTGCTACTCAAGTTCAAGTCATGAAGGTTTGAGTGTATCTGGTGCACAAATGGTTTATCCATCCATCACTTGATCTGACTGGATCACATCAAGCACATGTGGACTTGCTTTCCTCTGTCAAAACTGCAACATTTTTCCAGGACCATCCTGAAAAGATAACCCACGGCTTCACCCCAAAACCAGTGTGTCTTTGTGCAAGTTATGTTCCTGTTGTACAGGGCTCTGTTTCAGACCATCCGGAGAACTGTGTTCAATTCTATGCACTACACCTCAGGAAGGATTTAGTAGCTTTGGAGTGAGTGCAGCGCAGATTCACCAGAATATTCCTGGGGATAAAAGGGTAAATTATGAGGACGAACTTCACAGACTGGGCTTGTATTTGCCTTGAATGTAAAAAATTAAGAAGTGATTTAATTGAGGCGTTTAAGATGATTAAACAAGTTGATACAGTAATTAGAGGGAAATGATCATTCTGGATGGAGGAACAGATGCAGTTGCTAAGTTTGCAGATAACACAAAGATAGATGGAGGGACAGGTAGTGTTGAGGAAACAGGGAGGCTGCAGAAGGACTTGAACAGGCTTAGACCCCAATAAATACATGCAGACAGACACAAACAACCAACAATGGATGTCATGGGTGGAGGGAAAAAAAACGGGGAAACACAGTTCAGTAGCAGCAGTCCATAGTGTTCAATGAAGTGTCCCTTTTGCTTTGTTCAAATCCTTCTGATCTCCAATCCATATACCCAAGACTTTTCAGTTCTTTGCTGAAGATACTTGGGGTGGTGGTCAACATATTAATTGTTGAGTCTTACAGCCTATAGTGAAAGGTGGGAGAGAATAACCAGCTTTTGGATTATTTCACTGCAGTGAGTACAAAGAGAGATGCTGACTTGAGATTCTCTGCCCCTGTATTCTCCATCCAGGAGCCCATCAGAGAGTTCTCACGCTAATGACTCCTGGCCTTTACAACTAGTTTTAATTGAAAAAACCAATTAATAGTCTCTGGGTAAGGTTTACTCTGAACACACATTGAAAAGAGCAAGTCTGTTTATATTATTTTCATAGAACCTCTACAGTGTGGAAACAGGCCATTCAGCCCAACAAGTCCACACCACTCCACTGAAGAGCATCCCACCCAGACCAATTCCCCTACCCCTGCATTTTCCCCATGTCTAACCCCACCATCCCTGGGCACTATGAGCAATTTAGCATGGCTAATCTACCTAACCTGCACATCTTTGGACTGTGGGAGGAAACTGGAGCACCCAAAGGAAACCCACACAGTCACAGGGAGAACATGCAAACTCCTGGACCTGGACTAATTACTTGTAATAAATAGTCATTTTTGTTAAACTTGATCTGTGTTTTCTGTCAATCAAAGTCTGAAAATTAGGTGAATTGGAGACAATTTGTGTACTTTGCAAATGTTTTAATTTTGTGATGACTATGGGAATGATTTCCAGCATGCTACCCCAATGGGCTCTGAGGAAGGGTCACTGGACCCGAAACGTTAACTCTGACGTTTTCTTCACAGATGCTGCCAGACCTGCTGAGCTTTTCAAGCAACTTCTGTTTTTGTTCTCAACATCTTCCCCTTTGCTCGAACAAGGCAGCAGTGTAAACACAACTCATAATGAGTTCTAGTAATGTACAGACTATATCTATTTTATTTTTTGTGCTTTCTAAAACTGTAGACTGAAATAAGGAAGAACTGTTTTAAACCAGGGATTTACAATGATGGGTGCATGTTTTGGAAGTAAGTAAATTGATACCTATTGTGAATACTGGAACCCACAACTGTACAGTCCAGCAATGTGCTGATGAACTGGTGCTGACAGGTTGTTTACAAGTGAGGATGATTGGTTTATTCACTAGTGGCCAGTTATCAATGACAAAGATCCTCTGCCTGTCAACAACCATATGAGTGGTTGCCAGGTAGCTGAGCAGCTTGGGCTGTGAATAAGACAGAGAGAAGCCTTGTTCAGACTAGAAGAGAAGGCAGCACGTCTGCAGCAGTTAAGAGCTCTCTCTCTCAATTCTCTGCTGTAAGCCACTTTAAACCAGAATAAAACTTGCTTATTGTTCCTTCAGCACATCTTGCAAGCTGAGTCTTTCAACATGGATAAGTCAGAGAACTTTCAGATGTGAAATAGACACCCTTTGCCTTTTGCAAATCAATGGAAGCATTTGGAAAAAAGGAGGGTTAAGGAAAAACCTTCACGTTAGCAAGGACAAACCCAACAAGTTTTGTGAATTAAGACTAGGGAACTTTTTTTTTCACTTGTGTGTGTTCCTTCCCTATTTATTTGTGTGTCTGTGTGTAAGGGGGAGTTTATAATGATTTTAGTTTAAATTTGTAGAGTTTATTCTTTACCTGCTGTTTGAATTTAATTACATTATAAATTTCCTCTTAAGTAAAGAAATCTGGTCCATGCTTTCTATCAACCTGTGTCTGAAAATCAGGTATTTTGAGGATTTTCCATGTTTCTTTTGAAATCATTAACTTTTGTGATGACTCTGATAGATTAGAGCTTGATTTCCAGCATGCTATACCAATGAGAGGTAGCAGTAACTTGTTTTTAAAAGTGCAGCAAATCCTTCCACAGTCCTCAGTTTAAAATAAGATTTTGGAGTAGATTTGTAGCTCAGGTTGTGGTTGGTTGGCTCACCGAGCTGATTCATTGTTGTTGCAGCTCTGTGAGCCAATCAACCACGACTTGTTTCCTATATTAGTCCACAATTCAAAATTTTTAAAAATGTGGTCTTGCAGGTGGTGCTGTTCCAATGTATCTGCTGCCCTTGTCCTTGTAGATCAAAATGGTCATGGGTTTAGAAGGTGCTGTTTAAGGATCTTTGGTGAATTTCTGCAGTGCATCTTGCAGACAGTACATACTATTGCTTTTGAATGTCAGTGTGGAGGGCGTGAATGTTTGTTGATGTGGTGCCAATCAAGAGGGCTGCTTTGTTGTGGTTAGTGTGAAGCTTCTTGAGTGTTGGAGCCTCTGTAGTGCTAAAGGAGTGTTGCATTGTCAGAGATCCTACTACAAATCTACCACTCAAAAGCATGCTAGAGATCCCATGACACAACACAGTGGACAAGGAGGGGAGTTATCCCTGATGTTTTGATCAAGAGGGATCCCACAATGAATATCACAAAAACAGATTATCTGGTCATGAGTACATTACTTTCAAGTGTCATGATTGCAAAGGTGACATATAAATGCACATCTTCCTTTCATCAGGAAATGTTCTGCTTCCTGTGAATTGGAAATTATAAACCTATTGATAGAAACGGCCACAGTGGCAGTGAGCAACATATTGTGTACAGGACTCTTATGGTAGGATCCTGAGTGTTTCCATGAATAGGAACACAGCAGGCTGACTAATCAGGTAGTTCTAGTTAAGATAAAAGTGAATTTATTGTGAGTTATAAATCTGTACAGAAGATTTAAATGAAACAACAAGCAACACAATGTTCGCTTATATCATAACACTGAATCAATGAAAATAACAAAAGCATTTGAAAGTAAGTCAAGATCTTTCCCAGAACATAAAATGAATCTTGGAAGAGTGTAAGGTGAACATATTATGAACATATTGATAGACTGAGGGTACTCAGGTCTGTGAGGATTCATCCCCACTCCTTCCAGGATCGCAGTCCTCCCAGACAGGAGAGTACAAACATCCCCCACGGTATTAGTCAAATACCCGGCACCTGAAGAGGATCTCTTTATAATTCACAACCCCTACTAAAGCAGGGTCCGATTCTACCCCTACCACTCCTGAGAACTGGCTTAATTTACTAACACACACACACACACACACACACACACACACACACACACACACACA